TATGAGCGCTAGAAAAAATAAGATATATATGCATGAAATTATTATTGCTATTTGGCAAGAAATTATAGGTATTTTGTTTACTTACGTTTCGCAGAAGCGTAACCGACTATGAGAAACACAAAAAGCACAGCGATGCAAACTCTTGCGAACATAGTTTTAACTGCAAACAATCGATAAAAAATGTTAACGATACAACATTTTCTTACAAAACATAATACAATCATTTACAAAGGCAAAATCCCATAAACACTTTATTTCCTCTTAAAGCTATTACACATCTTAAACAACATCTATCCTACACTATTGTACATATACTTTTCGGCTTTTTTTTAATCAAATATCATAAAATATTGATACTTTCATTCATAATTAACAAAATGCTTGCTAGTTGAACTTATACGTATATTTCCCGCAGACAGGATTACTTAATAATTATCTTATATTGCTATTCAATAAATGGTCGGAAACCATTTTCGTAATCACACTAGTTACTAAAAAATATATTTACTTACTTGTTAATCCTTCTTGATACTTGTATCAAATAATGATTTAACTGCTAAGTTTCCTATCTTAAATACTGATTTGATCTTCATGAGGTTATCTTACCAGGAAAAGGTCACTAATAATAAGTCTTATCTTAGGTTGTGTTGCTTCCTCCTTTACTGCCATCTGTCAATTTTCATAAACCACGTGTAAACCACAAACAATTAACAACATACATTATATGTGCAAATTCACTATACCATAATGGTAATCTTTTTAGAAAAAAGAATATATTCATAAAAAATAACATGTTTGAACAATTGTGTCCGAATTCTTTTTCCATCATAAAATGATATAAGACAGGATGAGAACCTAAGTTCGATACCTTTTTCTATGTATCTTAACGATCTGCAATCACATCTGGAGACAAACGGGGATGCCGGTATTGAAATAGTGTACATATAGCGACTACACGAACGTTTTGTTTTCTTTCTGGCGGAAGATACCGTATATTTTCGAATAACGCTATTGATTTTCAAAACTGTTAAGTTATTGCGAGCATTGGAAACTAACTGTTAACACGAATAAAACAAAATTCACCTTTTCTGGTGCGAGAGGTGTTGCACTTTCCCACTTAACTCCTGCAAACATTTGTATTGAGTGCCACTATGTGGGTTTCCCCGTATAAGTTTCTTTTCTTCAATCTCGTTAGCATCTCAGCCGACAAGCAGAGAAAGCTAATAATGCTGATTTACCTCCTGACTAAACAATTTATTCGAACACAAAGTTGAAAATCTAAGTATGTTAGAAAGAGTTCGACTATATTTCTGAGGTGTATTTCATTTGCACGTACAAGAAATCAAAGTTACATGGTTACATTAAGCAAAAACGCTTTATTTACAAAAATACATGTTTACAGATCTTATATTAGAAGACGGAAATATCTATATTTTATGGTATGTATTAACTACATGGCAAAGCAGTCAGAAAAAAAAAACCTTTTGAATAGGTGATTTAAATAAAAGAAATCTTAAGAAGATATATCAATAATAGCTTAGAAAGAGTATTGTTATAATGAGTAATAAAATGCTTCAAGATGAAAAGAAACTGCATTGTTCAAAATCAAAAGAAACTGCATTAGAGTAAGCAATTACAGTATCAAATAATGTGGGTAAATTCTATACATGTCGACCAAAGGGTAAGTTTTCAACTTTTAAACATATACGATGTATTTAAAATTCAAAGCTTTTTGAAAAATGTGATTCTACTCTCCTGACTTTCCCCTATTTTTACCTATTTTCGTTTTGGATTTCTATGCAGTCTTAGTAGAGATATTCTTCCCGTCAAAAACATGCAATGCGTATAAAGAAAATGTGACTGCTAAACAAACTCAACATACAGAAATGTTTTCTTTTTTATGTGATATTGTGCACATCCGGATCAGCGGAAATTTACATATATGTTTACCGATGCTCAATTTTTATGGAGGCTATTCGTTGCCAAAAGTCCAGCCTTGTTGATCTGATTTGATCAGTTTGTTTACTGTATTTCTTTGTATGTTGCATTCTTTGATTGAGTTTGCCGATTTAACATTTTCAACATGTCTTTCGACAAATTACATGTTAAACGACAAAATATTAATTGGTTTTCTGTGAGAAGCAATACAAACTGTTCATCATAACATACATAATACTCATTGTTCGTGCATACGCCGACAAACAGAAGTTTCTCTCTTAGCTTTGATATTGTCATACGATCATTATTCGGATCAGCATAATCCAGTTGTACACATTTGCAATAAGAGATAAATAATCTCCGCCCATTTCCCCGCACACTTCATCATCGTAAGTTTATAAACGTATTTATCTGCTCCATTTCGGTATTTACCGCCAGCGACTATTTCTCCTTAAAGCAAAGAAGCAAGAACACGCACCGGCGTAGTTTCCGTTAAACACACCTTTCAAGGTAAAAACATTTTGGAGCCTTTTAGGTGTTTGCAAATCATTACAGTTATTCACCAAACTTAATTATTATAGGCCTGTAAGTTTTGAAACCCAATTTCCTTGAAAAAGAAAACCACACAAAATCTCACCAGGTACCTGTCTCAATCCAGCTTTTAATGAGGTTGTTTGAGGGTAAATGTTTTCTAGGAGGTTAAAATTATTGTTAAGACTATATTCAACATGCTTTGTTTAAAGACAAAGTTTCAACGAAGGGATAGGAATGAGTAACATTGACAGTTATCTAGAAGCTGTTATCTTACCACTTTCAAATTTTCAAGTAAACTTCTTTCAGAGATTTTGCTAGGACCAGATACTTATACAGACCAAATTCTGGCTGCTGGCTTTCCTAGTAGTAGCATTTACAATTACATCAGTAACCTTAAAACTAGCGTATGACTTGACAAGAAAGAACTTTTATCAAAAGTAAAATTAAAACCAAAGCTGTATGTAGCAAATACCCTATCTATCTATCTATCTCTGGATACTGCCAACCCCTCTTACGAGTGTTAAAGGCAGGAATTTAGTGCACGTCGGATTGTTAGTAAAAGGTGAAAAGAAAAGCTAAAAAAGAAAAGTCTATAAAAAGAAAAGTCCATAAAAAGAAAACCCCTTCATTTTTACCATACTGTATAAATATGTTTTACAATTTTTACGATATTTTTTAATAACAGTATTTAATTGAAACCAAAGGTAAGTATAACGATTTTCAATTTATGTATAGTACCTTGTTTATGTCATCTCCAAGAAAGCCATCACTTACAAAAATTAATAAATATTCTGTGTAGTATTTCTTGCATATAAAAATAGATATCTGCTTTTGATCAGCAAGTCTAGGTAACAGCTATTGACAGCATGTATACACAGATCTTAAAGCTGTCATTGATTAAGTAAAATGCATAAAAAAGGGGTTCGCTGAAGACCTTAAGCTACATCAGCTTACATTTATTTAATTATAAAAGGCTAAATCTACGGTTGCACAGAGGTGACATTTGTGCGTTTTTATTTATCTCGTGCGCACAATATACTATCTCGTGCGTACAACTTAATTATTGTGGTCACAACTTAGTATCTCGTGGTCACGACTAAGTAACTCGTTGCCACGACTAAGTAACTCGTTGCCACGACATAGTATTTGGTTCGCACGAGATAAATAAAAACATATATGTCGCCTCTGTGCCATCGTATAAATCACATCCTATGACGCAAAATATCTCTCAGAGGATGTAAACAGAGATGCTAGGATACACTGAATATTTATTTTAACATTAAAATTGGACAAATTCACACGTGTTTGGTTACAAACATGTATACCGCGGAATCATCAATAGTAAACTTTGTATAGTTCCGTGGTTATACACTTGGTAAGAAATGTGGGTTTTTCTTCAACCCAATATAGTCCTTCAAAGAAAGAAGGCATTGACTTACTTTTCTCTTTATTTATGTTGCCAAAAGTTAAACCCATGTATTGCATTCTAGTTCTGGCTGCTGAATGTAAAACAAATGTAAACGAATATTTCTGTGAAAGAATAATACAATCCGTACACGAGATAGCTAAGTCGTGGCCACTAGATACTATGTCATGGCCACAAGTTACTAAGTCGTGGCCACGAGATAATTAGGTCGTGGCCACGAGATACTAAGTCGTGGCCACGACTTAGAAACTCGTGGCCACGACTTAGAAACTCGTGGCCACGACTTAGTATCTCGTGGCCACGACCTAATTATCTCGTGGCCACGACTTAGTAACTTGTGGCCATGACATAGTGTCTCGTGGCCACGACTTAGCTATCTCGTGGCCACGACTTAGTTACTCGTGGCCACGACATAGTATTTCGTGGCCACGACTTAGCTATCTCGTGGCCAGCCCACGACTTAGTAACTCGTGGCCACGACATAGTATCTCGTGACCACGACTAAGCTATCTCGTGGCTACGACTTAGTAACTCGTGGCCACGACATAGTATCTCGTGGCCACGAGATAAATAAAAACACACACACATGTCACCTTTGTGCCACCGTATATTTGTAATATTTATCATTAAGATAAAATTTAGGTCGGGGCTGGCGCTTGTGTATATCTAAACTGTCTTTATACTTTGAATTTTTATAATGTAGAATTATTTAAAATTCCTTTGAATAAAATCTCACCCAAGAAAATATGTAAATTATTAAGTCAGAACATTTTCCGAAATAGAACCAACTTAAATATAATTTCTGATATAAAATGTAATAGAAGAATAAAGAAATAATGAGATTTTAGTTCAAAGTTGTCTTAAGTAAGCTTTCACCTAAAGAAAAGAAAATTAAATTACTTTTGACTAAACAAATAATATTGTTAGCAGTTTACTAACAGTATTTGAAACATGTGACCTGCAAACCAATTACTACTCAGCTCAGTGAATACACTTCCGTTACTATGATAGTTAACATTCGAACAATGAGGCACCGAAAGGTTTAGTTGATCGTGACTGATAAGACTGTAATTTGCTCAACCTTTTCCGTGTTCGATAAGCAAGGGAAATGCTATTTAAGACTTGGCATAATGCACTGTAGTCATTCATTAGACTAAGATAATCCGTATTCCAGAAGTACCAGCAAGTAAGTACATATATACGATTTTATTGCCAACCTCTTAAGAGTTAAACACAAGTCTAAAGTTAAGCACGAGTTAATCATTTTTGTAATCACTGGTACTGAAATGTAGCCTGAGAGTACGTTATTCTTGGAAACTTATTACGGTGATTATATCATTGCATTAAAAATGAATGAATAACAATACAAAGATTATTGTTATGCCTTTTTTTCATTTAAGAGAGGAATTAACATGCGGAAAACTTTTGGCAGCCAGCTTAGTCTAAATAGAATCATTTTGATCGGGTTCATCGTTAATCTTATTATTCAAAGAACGCATTTTAATTGGCTGAATTAATGATTTCTTGCTTAAATATTGTACATGTATTTCCATTGGTTAACTTTGTTATAATCATACTTGTATAAATGATAAGAAAGACAAAAACTAATCGGAATTATTGAAAAAGTCAGACGGCAAGGTGTAAAAAAAATATTACCGGCGATGGTGCCGCAGTTTTCCGCGATGCAACATAACCGGTTAGTAATTTTTTGTTGATGTTAATATAAATAGAAAAAAACTGTATTAAAACTGAAAAATGTATTGTTCGCGTTGTTTTATATACAAGCAAACTCGTAGCTTTTACATGAATATTGGAGATAAATAATAATTACACGTTAACGGACAATTTAACAACAGAGAAAATAATATAAATGTTAATCATGTTAATGTCACAAATGATTTATTATTACATGTTGATTTAGACACAATCGTATTATGTTTATATTATTGATACACCAAGTTATTTCATTACGTGATAATGTAAATGCAAAATAATTTATTGTGTGATGATTAAAATTTATTTTATCAATTGTTTGCAGGTTCAACAATGTTTGCTAAAGTGTATCTTGTTGTGTTCTTTGTGTGCATTATGGCTGGAAATGCTTCAGCTAAACGTGAGTAAATGAGAGGTCGACTTTTGATTTTTGTTCTACAACTTACCAAACATCACAATCATTCAGATATATCAGCAATTACAACGAATTTTTTGTTTAATATTTCCTTTTTGAAATTGTATCACTCATGAATCTATAAATGTTATTAAAAGGTAAGGCACTCGAGTGGAATCTTTTGAATATTTATTCTAACACGACCCGTATTTTTTTCCTATTGAACATAGAAGGACCGAAAGTGTGTGTTATTAAGCAATAAAATCACTGTTGACGTTCTTTATTTAGACATAAGACATGTGACATAACCACTAAAAGTGCGACGCGCTGAAAATTTCGCTTAATATCAGGTACGACAGCATTTATTTGTTGATGTGTTAGATTCGAAATAATATATCCAAATCGGTGATTTTATCGCTTGATACAATCACTATTTGTCGTTCGAAAGCACACCATTATATCAATCGGGCTACGCCCTCGTGATATAATTCCTCGCATCCGAACTCCAAACAGTGATTTTATTTCGCTATAAAATTATCGTTTGTGATATATTATTTCTTAAATAACAAATGAATACACTGAATAGCATTTAATGCCGTGCTTTTACTTAACTTGGAATACTCAAATATTATCGACTTATGATACAGTTATGTTCTATATTAAAAGTTATTTTGTTCGAGATGGAGTGGATAGACCGAGTATAAACAAAATTTGTTTTAAATAATAAAAAGTTGTTGGCAAATCCTTGTTTATATGTTAAACTATTTTCCCTAGCTACAAAGCGAACAACTTGTGAATTCTGGGGAAGCGCTGGTTGTGCCACACACTGTATCGCTTTAAACCACACTGGTGGATGGTGCGACTCTAAAAACTACTGTCACTGCAAGAAGGAAACCATTTTCGGGAAAAGGGAGGTAATTCAGATAAAAAACGTTAATTATCTTTAAAAGACATATTTTATATTCAACTTCCTTTTTGATGCATGGTAACATATTTAATAAGCTGTCTTTTTAGCATGAGATATAATGCTATCTTTTACCTCTCCCGCACTATGTGAATCTTTGTTAATCTAAAACGTGACCGAAATTCTGCCATAAATTAGTTTTAATATATTGATTATATTAATGTTTCATACTTTAACACTTTGTATTTGATATTTCAGAAGGAGGAGACTGCCTAATGTTCTAAAATTCATAATGTCAGATGGAAATCTAAAATAAAAACATTAGAAAAATACATATTTATTTTTATACATTATCCCCCCTTTACTTTTGTTAATGACAGTATTACACTGCCATTGTTTATTATATGTTTTACAGCCGTCAAGTTAGCTCAATGGTAGAGTGTTGGATTGTGAATCCCAGTCGCATAGCTCAATCGGTTTAAAGAGCGATACTTGTAATCTGGACATTGTGCGTTACATTCCATGGCTGGCCAACTAAATTTACTAATCAGTCTTTCGGATGAGACTTGAAATCAAGGTCCCGTGTATGGGTGCTTAAACACCTTGGCACACTAAGGAATCAGGAGAAGCTTCTGGAATCGAGGCATCTTCTGTATCTGTATCTTGCACTATCCTCCTAAAATCTACAAGTTAAATGTTGATGCTGCACATCAAAGACGTCGCCAAATGATGTAAACAGTCAATTAGCATTGAAAATCGTTCTCTATTAAAGTTGAATATCCGGAGCACAAATCAATTTTTTCTCCATGTTCTTGGTATGTGCTCGTTGTTAAATAATGAAGTTGCATATTTTTGTGAAAAAGTAGAACCTAATGCATAAATTCACAAAGTTATGCCATGTCTGAAATTCTGAAATGTTTGTCTGTTGTAACAAAGATTGAAACGTCTGGTCGAAGTAAAATAAATTGGAGAACAAGTAAAATTGAAATGATTGGTATAATAAATTTAAGACAATATGTGCCGAGAAAATGTCCATTTAAATATTGGTTCGAGTTGCATACTATTCAGCAGTGATCTCCCCTTACTGGCCGTAGTGAAACCGGCGTACTTTCTTAAAGGATAAGGGAAACCCGGGCGTAGTTTAGACTTTGTTGATTGTACAAGTGATATTGATCAAAGTTGTCCTGGTTTCATTTCGCCCCGTCAACGAAGACTAAATGCTAGCATACGGAGCATCATATTAAAGTTTGCGACAATTTAAGGCGGAACCGAACTTCAACACAGGCGGATCAAGTGAAGTGAGTGACACTGCCTAAGTCGTTACCTCTCTCAAGAGTTAAGTTTTAGAACGATCGACTATAGACTGGCTCATTGGCACGTAATTTAATGTAGATAAAATTAGATAATGATAAAAAGAACATAGCACTATCACTTCAGTTAAACGTTTATTCTTATCCCTTAAAGATCTGTGACATGTTATACATCAGAAAAGCTATTTTTATTAGAAAATTTGAAAACAGTGTGATTTTGTTAAAACAAAAAGAAATACACACACTCAAGCCATTGCTGTTTGGATAAATGCATATCTTCTAGACGCCGCTTATATAATCTTACAAGCGAAACACAAAAACATCTTAAAGAAACTGACCTGCTTGTAGTATTGACTGAAAAAATATCACCTATTTGTCTTCCCGAAAATCGTCCCCCATCTTGAAAATTCTATACTGTAACCGTAAAACGCGATACTGGAACACTTTCCCTACGTGAAAAAAAAGGGTTCACGAAGTATACCCTGAATATTCAGTCGGAAAGGCACCCATATGGTTTTGTTTGTTTGTTTGGATTTTTACGGCACGTCAACATATAACTGGCCATATCGTGCCGAATGCTATAATAGGCTTAAAATGTTATGTAAAACTTTGTAAATGACAATAAAAATGAGCCAATTAGATCCTAGAATACAAGTTTATCATTCGTGAGGAGATAAAAGTGGGTAATTTTAGTGTGTCCAATTCGGCATCGAAGAAGAACTGTTTGATCAGGACAGAGATAGAGATGGTGACACATCAAGAGATGGGTTTATATCGTGAAGTTTATATAGGCTTAGTACTTCAAATATTACATTGATCTATATTTACCTTAGCCATCAAGGTATTATATTGAATTTAGTTATGACAGTAAAAACATAATAAAAATGATTATAAAAGAAAAAAAGACTGACACTTATTTGACATTGACCGTCATGGTCGAATTTTTAAAATTTTATTAAATTGTCATAATTTTGTTGGCGGATGTGTATACAAATGTATATCAAGAAGAGACTAGGAATTTGTAAAACATTGAACATTTTTAAGGACTGTATTTGAATACTTTTAAGGACTGTTTTACGATCGTTGGGTTATTACATATCTTTGTGGCTAATGACTTGTTTGTACACACTACATTACAGATACTGCTCATAAGATACTTAAATATACTGAAATGTCTTTAAGAGCAATTTTGCATATAGAAGGAAGTGTTATTATCAAATTTTTTTAATCTAACCAAAAATTAAAGAGACGATGTTTGGTAATCGGTAAATCGTATGAAATATATCTGTCAATCTAAAAGTACATATAAGACCGGATTATATTGTGTTTATATCAGTACATCAACATTCTTTATCCTTACACTTGTAAGTTAAAATGACGCCATTCTGAAGAATTTCAAAGGGGTAAGGAAAAGGTCCCCAAATAATCCCAGTAGTCATAGTGATTTTATTGCATTAGGTTGACCTCTTAGGCAATCTACAGTATTTTTCACGTGCCAAATTTATAAGTCAAGATCAAAATTAGACACAAAAGTCATGTTTAGACTTTCTACCCAAATGTCATAAATTATATGCTTTATGTGAATGAAAAGCTTTCATAACGAAATATTTCAACTACATATTTGTGGCACATTTTCACATACATGTCGTGATTTTCAAACATTAATGGTGCGAGAAGTGTCCAAACATTTATGCATCTAATCACCAAAAATTCGATTCCCTCAAAGTATTCATCTTCAACAGATATACAAAGATTCAGTCTCCGGATCCAATCATTGAAGGGATTTTCATAGCATTTTTATGTATACTATGAAGAAACTGGAATATTGGAGAACCGAGGTGTTTGCGCTGCACATACTTGCGCCATGAAAGGTATTTTGTTTTAGCTTTGGGAACAAGAAGAAGTCACAAGAAACAAGGTCAGGTAAATTCGGAGGATGAAGGAGTAAAACATTTTTCGGCTTCAGTAGGTCTTGCATTTTAGTGTAGTAAAGTGGAAGCGTTGTTATGCAGCAATCTGGCATTGACCAAACATGTTGCGCGTCTTCGTTTTCGAAAGTATTTGTTTAGTTTTTGAAGAGTCTTTGTCTTCTTTTAACAGATTGGCCGTTAGGAACAGCAACCTTATGGCGTGACCCTGAGTTGTAAAGAAAAAGCCATGCATTATCTTTTATAATACTGAAGGTCCTTTTTGCAATACATGGTATTTTGCAAGACTTTATAGCCCTAATCTTGTTTGGCTCATACAAATAAACCCATGTTTGGTCACCAGTGACGTCATTTATAAAAAACGATGTATTGTAAAAGAAACAACTTAGTGCAAAGTAGGTCAGCTTTTTTCTGCGCATATGTCAGCAAATAGGAAATCCATCCAGCACAGATCTTTCTAATTTTCAAATTGCGATTAAGAATAGTATGAGCTGCTTCTAAGGAGATGCCAACGATACTACCTATTTGCCTAGTGGTGTATTTACTATTGCTTTAACTTACGCAACCATCGAAACAGACGTTGCTATTATTGACCGACGGGCATGGGCGCAAACTTCGCAGCTACAGATCCGGCCAACGTGGCACAGGAAACATGATGTATGCTTCAAATGTGGCAAATCTGGGCATGCCGAATGCAGGGCAGTACCTGCAATTGGGGTGGAGACGGTGCAGAGCGAGAGTTTCAATAACATAAGTAACATTTTCTTTTAAAAAATGACGAGTGTAAGCATTTAATCACTAAGCTAAAGTCACATGTAGTGGATAATACCTCAGACGGAAAGGTTCTACTAATAAGTAGTCATACGAATGTTTCGGCAGTAGAAACTCCGGTCTGAATGTTAAACCAAAATTATAGTCACTGGAAGAGGCAGGCGCTAATGATAGCATATTCTGAATCTTATAGATGAAAGTAACAAAAATAAATACAAAAATCTGGAAACAAAGCTTCTGGAAAAAAAAGTGCTCCCTCGGAAGCATTAATCACAACAAAATTACAAGAAAATTGCAGACTCGGTTTGACTGAGTCTGTACATGAGGAAAATTGATTGAGTGCAACATCCCTCACGCCCCCTAGCACCGGCTGGAGCGGTACTCAATTCTCAACACTTAATAGTGCTTGCATCAATGATCCCGAAGGACAAGAAAAATATAACACTGAAGTAAAGTACGGGGCAACTTTTTACAGCTGCCACACAGCACTTGACACCTGCTGTTGTGAAGTATAAAAATCTGTAAACAAAGTGATCCCTCAGAAGCATTAATCACAACAAAATTACAAGAGAATTGCAGACTCAAATTGACCTAAAAGTATTCCATTTTGTGCAAATTAAAAAAATAATAAAATAGAGAAAATAAGAATCCATTGGGAAAGACCAAGACAGCAATATCGAAAATGTTGCACGCTCAGTTTGATTGAAAAAGTTCATGGACAGTACCGTCAAGTGCAAACTACCGTACACGCACCTTAGCACCGGCTTATGCAGAATTTGACATTTAAACATTAAATGGCAACATTTCGATTTTAGAAACATCCGCAGATGTGTTTATACGGCGGTAATCATGCAAGCTTAAATGTGACATTCCATAAAAAGCGGCGTAAGGTCCCGTAGTAATAGAAAGCGTGTGCCCTAAACGGGAAAACAATGGGCGGAACTAAATTAATTAGAATTTTGAAAGGTGATTAGAGGTTATCAAGCCTGCATATCACAGATAAGACATCAAAAGACAAAGTTAAAAAGCAGGCAACATTTCCTAATGATTAAGGAATATTGGAACTACCCAAATCGAATAGTTGAACTAAACAATACCACAAAACACAACAATAATGTAGTGTAAAACGATCTTTAACGATCGGAATTATAACATCTCTGATTGAATGTACGGGGAGACTTTTTACAGCATCCACACGTCACAAACATCGCTGATGTGACGATAAAATAGAGAAAATAAGAATCACTAAAAAAAGTCCAATAAGTCCACTTTAGAGAACGCTGGTCTTGTTTCGACTGAGATTAACAAAGTACTGACAAAAAG